AAACACGTTTAGATTGAATGGTAATTTATAATCAGTCACAAGAACGTCGAATCTGAATCACTTGAAAAAAACACAGGGGTGCTTAACTTTTTTCCAGGTGTATATAAGTCACACAGAAATGCCATTAATATTACACTTAATCCCATTAATTACTGCCGAAGTTTTCCAAGCATTTTACTCAGGAAATGAGTGATTTTACCAAATTGTTTTGATAAGTTTTTCACACTGAGTATTATAACAAGCAAAATCAAAATTACTTAATACGATGAAATATATATAGTTTTCCAGTGGTGAACAGTAAGAAAACTAATCGGTAATTTGAGGGTTAAAATTCCACTTTTGGCGAATCATATTTCGAAGCAGTAAATTGTCACCAATATTATTGTTTACTTGTAAAGTTTCCTGCTAATTTCAGTAACAACATTCCCATTTTTATTTACTTGTGTTCGGGTGAAGAAAGGTTAAAGATATGTTTTATTTTTTCTATGGTAGTGAAATGCCTATTATTGAAAATTTGTGAAACATTTCCATTGTCTATTGCTTTTACTTATCTATTTTCAACGGTAAAGTATTATTTCAATAAGTTTCTACATTACAGACCTTTACATTTTATTATCCAAGGACATTTTTTTCTGAACACATATTTTAGATTTATACAAACTTTTATATGAGTGCAATATTTCGAACAGGTTCGCAATATGTCTTGAGAAACCTAGACTACAACACTAAATACGTACTACGAGCTGCTGCTCGCAACGCTGCTGGGTATGGAAATTATTCAGAGGATATTGAATTCACCACCAAGAGCCTGAATCCAGGAACAGTGCATAGCTACGCCATCTGTAGTCAGCCAACACAACTACTTGCTCTGCTGTCCATCGTACTGTCCCTCTCTTTGCTCAGTTTTTAGAGACAGCAGTGATGCTGCACCATAGCTTGGCTTGTTTGTCCTCAATGGTATGTTCTGGAAATTAAGACAAAGGAAGATTTTATTGAGAGCTTTTGGGAACAATAGAAAATAAATGATTATTTTTTGTTTAAAATAATATGTTACATTTTCAAATATATTATTATTTATAGCCGTGGCATCACCCCAGATTGAAAATGTTGTATAGCAAACGTTTTTGGACATAATTCAATGTATGTGTTATTGAGAATAAGCTAGTTCGCTGACATATTTGTAAACTTTTTCTTCGAATAATGCTGTAACGATAAGAATTCTAACTGCATTTTCAATTTATAATTGTTGTGACAAATATGTATTGTGCATTATGGTTAAAACTTTAAACGTGTCATGGTTTGAAGTGTCAACATTTTTTTATCTTTGTTATTGTAAATTTTTGAAAATGTGATTTTTCTTATGTTCCAAGTCACAACGGGAGGTGATAAGTAACATCACGGTGTATTTTGTTAGTGTTTGTAAATGTTTTATTCTGTTTGTAAGTAGCAAAAGTGTAATATTTTAAAGTACAAAATGATTTCACAATTCCAAATTTTTGGGTTAAAATTTTGGTATGTATAACGTTTACGTGTTACAAACAATAAAATTTGAGCCGAGTAGCAAATGCTGTCAAAATTGAAAAACTCGGCAAATAATATTTAAACATGTATATGTTGATGTATACAATCTGTCTCAAAATGTTCATGCAAAAGCAACAAAATGCAGTTTAGCGTCTCTGGTTTAAAACTACACTGATAGAAAAAAAAGGACCGTGAACATGTGAGAGCACATTAATAAATTTAAAATGACGATTGAGTTTTATCTTGACCTTCGCTTAATACGCTTGAGAAATTCATAACAGAATGTAAGTGTTATGTAATATACTTCTTTAATAACCTACAAATTAACTGTGTTTTATGATCACTTTGTAGCTCATTTGATGTGGTTTGCTTCTTCTCTAAGTTGGCCTGTATATGCTTTATCCTATTATCTTCATTTGATCTATTTTGCCATAAATTATGATATATATATATATATATACACACTATTAACATTCTGATAATTTTAGGTATAATGTTTTGCATATTATATATGTTTAGGAATGTTATTGTTATGTGCGGACATTTGTAATAGAAAATGTCAACGGAACAAGATATACTTAAACACTTCCTTTTATTTTTAGCTTGATCAGAATGGTGATGTATGGCTGTTGGCTTACTTGTTTAACTAATGTATTTTGATAGCTATGTGTGTGTATTTAAATTATATATAAGATGTTAATTTTTCAGTCAGAAACCTCTAATCTACATACGTCATTTTTATAGAGGTAAATGAAGAACTCATGTGATATACATATAAGTATCGTACAGATTATATACTTCAATTAACGTTGCAATGAAATATCTTTAATACTCATCATGCATAAACATTTTATGATCAGTTATATGAATTTTAACTTGCAATTTGAGACTCTTTAACATTATGTTGAAATTTACACTTCTGTATATTTTCCAGTAAGTAGAGAAAAAGGTTGTAAGGTAGAAATTAGGTAAATATGTAATGGTTTCCAAACTAACTTTACATATAAAAAGTATCATAAACATATATTTCATTGATTGAACTCAAGCAACTGTCTTATGAAGCATTAGTTATTTTGGAAAAAAAATGTAGTAATAAGTAAGTGGTAAAAAACTATTGAAATGATTAAATAATCCACTTCCTATTTTAGGAGAGAATTTTATTTTTATTTTTAGTAGGTAAGTTTATTTTCAGAGGTCGCTGATGTCTTGCATACATTTCTTGTAAAGCCTTTTTTTTTTACTAAGCCTAAATTATGTTTTCTAGAATTTTGATTATTATTGGTGTAAAACTGTAATATATTAAAATTAAGATATTGAAACTGGACATGTTGGAGATTTTCTGCTAAAGTAAGATTCATGTTTTTTCGACTAAACAGTGCGCGATATTGATTAATATTAACAAAGCACACTAAATATTTAACAATCACAGACATTCAGTACACGCATACATAAAACATATCAGCATCATATCTTCCCTCCTGGCTTTATTTTCAAGAGGTTTTTTTCTGTAATGCTTAAAAATGTGGTAACAAAGTAACAGTTAAACAGAAATCAGTAGAAAAACCATCCAAACAAAAACTTAAACTCGCACATAATTGAGACGCTTATGAATAACATACCAATACTTAATTATGTAGTGAGTGGACTTGTGATCACTAGACTAGCTAGTTTTAAATGGTATGTAATATCGAATTTATTGAATAAAAGAAAGAGTACACACAATATTCCACTGCAGGTAACTCGGCATTATCAAGTTTAACAAAAGTAAGAAGGATCTCAAACTTTCAAATAACTCAGCATTATCAAGTGTAACTAGAAATGGAATTCAAACTTTCAAACAACTCAGCATTATCATGTGTAAGAAAAACTAAGAAGGGATTCAAACTTTCAAATAACAAAAGTGTAACAAAAACTAAGAAAGAATTCAAACATTAAAATACCTCGGCATTTTCAAGGGTAACAAAACTAAGAAGGAATTCAAACTTTCAAATCAAACGGTATTATCAAGTGTAACAAAAAACTACGAAGGAATTAAAATTTCAAATAACTCGGGATTATAAAGTGTAGCAAACAATAAGAAGGAATTCAAACTTTTATATAACTCGGCATTATCAAGTGTAACAAAAAGCTAAGAAGAACTTAAAACTTTCAAATAACTGGGCATTATCAAGAGTAACAAGAACAAAAAGAAAACTTTTTGTTGAGGTAACTTCAGCAAATCGTTCTGTGTAGTATTTTCTTTCTCTCGATAAACTCGATGTTATATACCATTTAAACTTTTAGTAATACCAATACCTACACGTATTCCTATGGCTGCAAACAAAAATATCTGTTAGTGACTTTAGATGATTTCGTTAGTTGAATTATATGATCTCTTAAAGTTTCGAATCTCTAAACAGAGCAGAAATTAAGTTGTTTGAACTAAAACAAAATATAAAGTTAAAACATATAATTGTAGACTGATGGAATATATAATTACGAAAATAATGACCAATCAAGTTCAAATGTTAAATGTTTGATTCTTTTCTGTTAGATTTTAATGTTGTTTCTGTTTACTGTAGAATTGTTAAGTCAAAAGCGTTAGTAAGTATCTTAACAAAGATTTTTTTTTTGTAATTGCTACTAATATTTTGTTCTTCTCTTCCTGTCTGTGGAACACAAACGTAACAGTAACAACGGCTACTATGACAAGAAGAAGACTTTATAACTTACGGTACACCTTCCTGTGTGGCATATATATATTAAATAAGAGAATCGTGTGGATTTGAATTAGTTTTTTTTTCTCATTGAAATCTGGCACAATTACTTAAATCAATGAATATATACTCTGAAGAAAACCAGACTGGCAGAGTTTCATAAGTTTCAATAAATATTATTCCACTCCAATTTCACTGGTCATCATTCGAATGTTTTCAGAACAAGCGAACTAAATAAAAGCTTGGAGTTAAATACTTTCAAAACAAGTGTTTAATTTTCTTGATAGTTACCATCTAAACCTAGAAACACTGATTCTGTTATGGTTAACACATTCTATAGTTTGTATGGCACGAAACTCTTCATCTACAGTTGTACTAGAAGCCACATACACAGATATTGAAAATAATTAAATATTTCAAATAACTTATTGTAGTTAATTAATGTCATAACACATATTTTAGTGGAAAATCTCATAAAACCTGTAACTGAGACGAGTGGATGACAAGTAAAAATCAAATTAAAATTAAAAATCTCAACTGCCTACCTTAAACCTTTAAGGAAACAATGAATAAGCACACGTAGGACTCCACTTTGAATAACGCAGTTCTTTCCTACACGTTGAGATATCATAATGTTAAAATTATATGAATGTTATTATGTGAAGGCAAAGAGACAGCAGAACTTCAAAATTGACAAAAAGGGGCAACATTTTATTGTATAAAATGTAGATTGTATTATTTTAGTTTTGGATCATGAAAGACTTTGAATGTGACGGTCAATCCAACTATTCGTTGGTAAAAGAGTAGCCCAAGAGTTGGCAGTGGGTGGTAATGACTAGCTGCCTTTCCTCTAGTTATTTACTGCTAAATCATGAACGGATAGCGCAGATAGCCCTCGTGTAGCTTTGCTCGAAATTCAAAACAAACCAAACTAAACGTTTCCCGGTGAGACAGCGAAAAGTCAACGGACCTTAAACGCTAAAATCCGTGGTTCGTTTTTCCGTGGTGGACACAGCAGATAGCCCAATGTGGCTTTGCTCTAGAACAAACAAAATAATGTCATAAACTATCCAAAAACTGGAATGATTACATTTTTTCAAGCTAGAGTATTGGAAAAATTATAATCATTGTACTGATAAATACTTAACATCCAACAACAATCAAGGGGAAACATAATAAACCTCAAGTTTAACTTAACATTCAACTACATCAGTTTTTGGCACATAAAACCCTACTAATTGATCGAATAGATTGCATTAGTTTTTACTTTTGATATATATTTTTGAAAATTTATTTCATGAAGCTAGTTACAACTTGCGTTTATTTTGTAGCAGTTCGGGGAACATCATTGAAGCTCTTGACATTCTAAATACTTGATTTTTCTCATACAATTATACCTAGAATAACACTAGAAAAGCTTTACTTAAATAAAATGGTCAAAAAGTATTACAGCGAATGTCCTTATTATAAGTTCCTTCGATTACACCACCCGTGTACGGCTTCCATAACGTAACGAAATAATCTTTGATGAATGACTAGCATGTTGTACGATTAATTACGATCGTGCACATAACTGAGAATCGATTGTAAAAATAGGTTGATCAGGGAGGAGGTTGAGTGACTTTCTACATTACTGGGATTTGGAGAGTAACAGTTTCCTTCCATAACTGAGAATCGATCGTAAAAATAGGTTGATCATGGAGGAGGTTGAGTGATTTTCTACATTACTGGGATTCGGAGAGTAACAGTTTCCTTCCATAACTGAGAATCGATCGTAAAAATAGGTTGATCATGGAGAAGGTTGAGTGACTTTCTACATTACTGGAATTCGGAGAGTAACAGTTTCCTTCCATTTAGTCGTAGCATTTAATGACTGAAACACCTTAGGTTTTATTAAGTAGCTGTGAAATCACACGGCATATTTGTTTTTGTAAAGACGAAATGATGTTGCTAGAAAGCAAAGGAAATGATGGACTGGGAAAGAATTCTCCACACGTTTTCTAATTATGCTTACATCAGCAAAACCACAGAACCATTGCTTCGTTTTAAGTGTAAATCTAAATACCAAATACGTTCGAGTACCAAATATTAGTATCTCCCATTTTAAATACAGTAGAATGTATATCGTAGTAATATAGTTAACATTGATTATTCAAACTAAAGTAAGTCAATACAAATTTAAGTTGTCTTATCAGAAATTAGTCTGTACGGAAATATTGATACATGTTGGCAACATTAGGATACAATTGATTATTAAGAGCTTCTTTAAAATTAGGAAGTTCAGTTGGTATATATTTCAATAAATCAACCAATACATTTAAACTAACCAGGTCAATTTAAAGGAGCTTTTGTGTAGATATTGATAAAATCAAATTTATTAACTGAAAAATAATTATTACAAGATTGGAATAATGTAAATTAACACTCAGAAGATACGTTATCGATATTATTAATGTCTGTATTATTAAAACGCTTTGTAATTATCAATCTCAGGTTCATCAAGAAATTCAGTTTTTATAATTAACAAGCTGAGGCACGCATCCTTATGAACTTTAAAAAACAAATGTGTGGATGGATGCTGTGATAAATAACACAAAAATCCTAACTTTCATACAATTTATATATAGCATAACATATTATTACAGTATTCATTATTACCTCACCGAAAGTTACGTATAAGCTTTAATAACTCAATGTGTATATACTTAAAATATGGTATACACAGGGTGACTTTATAGAAAGAGGTAGTGGCCATAGTGGTGGCGGTAGGGGTGCTTTTTGTTACCCGCTTTCAACACCCACCCCTTAATGTCCTTCCACAGTGTTTCACGTTATTAATTAATTGAAAGTCATTGACTGCAGAAGTGTCTTATGGGCCGAAGTTGAAAGGTCATAGGTCAAAATAGGAAGTAGGTATAACTGAAGAAACTGCTCTTCATATCCTTATGGTGGCTGTTGAAGTAGAAACTTGAGTTGAATTTATGTAGTACTGCAATAGTGGCAGCAATTTTTTCAATGCATTTCTCCATAGATAGTGCTAATACACTCTTTGAGATATATAAGACGTTGATGTCCCCCACCCCACCATGTGTACGTTGTTTTATAGAAAATATAATAAAGTTTATTTTTTGTATAAGGACGTGGCGCCATCTATGAATGTAATTAACGTTAACTTACATTAAAGATAATAAATGTTCAATAACAGTAATAATGGAATTGGAGCGATTCTGAACCTACTATTAACATGCCCCTTGTTCCAAATTATCATCCCACAAAGTTTGATTGAGGTTGGCCCATCGACTTAGAAGTAGTTAGATAACAGACATACATACTTTTATGCTTTATATATATATATATATATATATATATGACAGGTTGTTAATATCTGACTTAAAACAAGTTTTTAGATATTGACTGGTGTTAAATAGCTTTTAATTTTATTTTTCTAAATAAAAAGAAAATTACGTTTTCAAGAGAAGTTAAATTTCTGGTCGTTTGACATTCGATTTTGGATTCAGATGATGATTTTAGTTTAACATATAGTCCTGGCATGAGTGGCGTTACATATAATCTTAAAATATTAGCTACTAGAGCTCGTTAGTACAGTATTCAGGTAATAATGG